TCCCTTCCAGCTCCCTGCCTGTGGCCCGGGAGAGCAGTGGAGGACAGCCCAAAGCTTTGGGACCCTGCACTCGTGTGGGAGACGCGGAAGAGGCTCCTGGCTTCGGACCGGCATAGCATCGGCCATAGTGCTCACTTGGGGAGTGAATCATTGGACGGAAGATCTTCCTCTCTGTCCCCCCTCTCTGTATATCCACCTTTCCAATAAAAAAAATAATAAAAATAAATCTTTAAAAAAAATTATAGTGAATCATCATGGAAAAAGATACAGAGGAAAATAAAAAGTATGGGTAAGAACAGATTTTTGGGTAAGATTCTTATTGAAGTTCAAAAACCATTCAAGACAGGGGTCTTCCAGGTCTAGAAGATAACAGCAACTACTAGGATATAAATCTTTTCATACACTACCCTCACCTCCCAAAACCAAAATTTCAGTAAGAAGGCAAAGAAAACCACAGGAAGCCATGTTATCACCATTACTGACAAACAGAATACCACAAACTTCAAAATGCCTGCAAAGCTGAAAAATGAACAAAATGGCCACTTGAGCCGTTATGCCAGTCCCTGTTCATGGCCTGGGAAAAGCAACAGATGTTAGCCCAGGTATTTGGGTCCCTGCCACTCACACGGGAGACACAGATGAGGCTCTTGGCGAGACCTGCTCGTCATTGCAGCCATATGGGAGTGAAGCAAGAAACAGAAGATTTCTGTCTCTTCCTCTCCATGACATTCAAAATAAATAAATTAAAAAAGAGAGAGAAAACATTACAGAACAGCATGTGTCTATGGAAGGATCAGTTTAAGAACATGTATAGCAGCTTCCTTTATACCAGTTCCAAACTAGAAACAACTCAAGAATCTATCAACTTGGCAAATGGATGAACAGACTCTACATAGTGGAATACTATAGACAAATAACAGGAAATAAATTGGTTTCCATTTTTAGGATAAGATGGAAAAGATGAGTACCTCTTTGCTCTCCCAACTAAGAATAGCATATTACAAAACCTTGAAAAGTTAACAGAAGAAAAACAATTAGAAGAACAGGACCCAAGACAAGACACGGAAAAATGTACTGCCTCAGCTTTCTCTTTATATATTCCAGACTGGTGAAAAGAGGCAAGTAATTCAGAAATATCAGTTGGGCAAAGACAAAAAACAAAAACAAACAAACAAACAAAACAATTCTCTATAACCAAAGGGTCAGGAAATGCGCAGCCTAACAAGACAGAAACTCTTCTTTGACAATATGCATCTACTCTGAAAACAAAAAACTCATATGAATTTGGCTCCATCTTCATACCACAAAAGCCAAAGATGGCGAGGCAGCTAGATTTCCACATACGACATGGGATAAGAGTAAGGGAGTTCCCTCCCTGCATGTTTTTTTAAAAAGATTTATTTATTTTTATTACAAACTCAGATATATAGAGAGGAGGAGAGATAGAGAGGAAGATCTTCCATCCGATGATTCACTCCCTAAGTGAGCGCAATGGCTGGTGCTGCACCAATCCAAAGCCAGGAGCCAGCAACCTCCTCCAGGTCTTCCACACAGGTACAGGATCCCAAAGCCTTGGGCCGTCCTCAACTGCTTTCCCAGGCCACAAGCAGGGAACTGGATGGGAAGTGGAGCTGCTGGGATTAGAACCGATGCCCAAATGGGATCCCAGCACATGAAAGGCGAGCACTTTAACTGCTAGGCCACACCGCTGGGCCCCCTGCATGGTTTCAGTCAGAGACCACCTAGAGATCTAGGGTTTCCATTCTACCACATAGCAATGAGATTCTCCCCATCCGTACAGTGCCATGGTGGTAGTGAAGAACACTAGGAGGAAGCCAAGACTTTTATCTTTTTCCAGGACATTCAACCTCTTCCACCACGTTGTCAGTGGAGGCCACCTGGGGAACAGTAATGTGACTCAGTAGCTAGCTGGGTGCTGCTGCAGCCCAATACCACAGGAGAATACTGTGCCTCATATCGCTGGGCCAGAAAAGATCAAAGTTCAAAATACGAAGTATGTTTTCCACTGAATGTTTATTACGCTTGTATCATCCAAAAAAAACTAAAGCATTCTAAGTCAAACCATCAGAAAAATCACCCATCATACCACTTGTATGTCATATCAGAATATCTAGACACACTTATCTCCAGCTCCTGACACCAGCTTATTGCTAATGCAGGCCTTTGAGAGGGGCTTTGTGATGCCTTATATAAGTAGGTTCGCGTCCCCCATGCAGGAGATCCGGATTATGTTCCCAGCTGTCAGCTCCTGCCCAGCCCAGTCACTGCAGCCATGAGGGGTACACAATGGATAGGAGCACTCTCTCAACTAAAGAAATGTTTAAAACAGCACTTATGTATATACTTAAAACAAATGAATATAAAGTTTTAGTAAAATTAAAGTCTCCACAAATAAATAAAAATACAAACAAGAAACAAATGTAAATTTTAAAATGTAAAATTACATTTACCAAACTAAAGATCTCAAAAGATGAGATAAGCAGGAGAATGGAGTGAACAAAAGGAAGATTTGAAGACAGATCAAAAGAAATACCAAATGAACAAAAGAGAGAAACAAATTGCAGGTGGGAATAAGCCAAAGAACAAAGCCTCAAGAGCCTGTGGGACCACAAGCAAACATATGCCACTAGAATTCTGAAAAGAGAGGACAAAACAGAAAGGACAGAGTGTTAAAGTAGTAATGGCTGAAATTTCCCCAAATCTGGCAAAGTATAAAGAATATATTCAAGAAGCTGAATGAACCCCAATCAGGATAAGATACCTTAGAAATCTATTACAAGGTATTAAATAAGCAAACTAAAACACATAGAAAAGTAAAGGCAGAGGAAGAGATTTTAAAACAATCAGAGAAAATCTGAATAACAAAGTATCAAGCTGAAGATGGCTCAACTGCATGGGCCCCTGCACCCACAGGGGAGACCTGGATGGAGTTCCTAGCATCTGGTTTTAGCTTGGCCCAGACCTGGCTGTAGTGTCCATTTGGAGAGAAAATTAGTAGATGGAAGATAACTCCCTCTCTCAGTGTCCCACTCTTTCTGTAACTCTACCCTTCCAATAAATACATAAATCTTGTTTTAAAAAATTACATTAAATCACAAACATTAAACAAACTGAAATAGATCAGCAAAAATGATTAATAAGAGTAGATTCCAACTATAGTCTCTCTACAAGAAAGTATGCACAACTTGGAAAGACGAAAACGAAAAAGTTAACTGTAAAACGTCACTTACAGTAAGATTCTATTTACCTAACATTCTTGAAATGATAAACTTATAAATATGAAAACAAACTAAAAGGTTAACAAGGGTTAGGTATTATGGTGGAGAAATGAGTGGACGTAACTTTTGTAGAGGAATAGCATAAGGAAAACCTTTATGATCATACAATAGTTCTTCACCCTCAATGTACTTTTGATTACATAAATTTATACATGTAATTAAAAGATACATAACTATACGCTCACATTGTACCAATACAAATGTTTGGAGTTTGATCTTGTGCTATACTTTTTTTTTAAAGATTTATTTTTTATTTTTATTACAAAGTCAGATATACAGAGAAGAAGAGAGACAGAGAGGAAGATCTTCCATCTGATGATTCACTCCCTAAGTGAGCGCAATGGCCGGTGCTGCACCAATCCAAAGCCAGGTCCAGGAACTTCCTCCAGGTGCAGATTCCCAAGGCTATGGGCCATCCTTGATTACTTTCCTAGGCCACAAGCAGGGAACTGGATGGGAAGTGGAGCTGCCGGGATTAGAACCGGTGCCCAAATGGGATCCCAGCATATGAAAGGCGAGCACTTTAACTGCTAGGCCACGACGCCGAGCACATGATCTTGTGCTATACTTACATAAGATATAACCACTGAGGGAAACTGAGTGAGGAGTATTGGAGATTTCTTTGTAACTGCCTATAAATTTAAAATTATCTCAATAAAAAAAAAAATCTAACTTCCAACAGTTCAAATTGAGGTTATCACTTCCTGTAAGATTTTGGGATTCTTAACCTATTTGTGCATCACTTCTGCCATTTGTGAAAAGAAGGGTACAGAATCTACAGTTATAACAGAAAATAAACAATATGTAATCTCAACAGCACTATGCTAAGCTAGAGACATCAGACAAAAAGGGCTGCAAGAACTCTGATTCAACCCAGATGACACTTTAATAAAGGCAAAAGCTACAGGGATAGATTGGGGTGCCTGCGGGCAGAGAAGATTAAATCACATCTCTCAACATTTGAAACCAAGCTTATAATCTACATACTAAAAAATAAAATTAATTCAGCAAACGCATGAAGGAACTTAAACTGAATGCAAACAAACCAAACCAATCCAACTAAGGGAATCTGAAATGATTACCATAACCAAGTGAAGCAAGTGAGGGAGTGGTGGAAGCAAGCCTAATTCAACTTAACTTATCTTTAATAGGTAAATGCAGCAAATCAAAACATATTAAAATAAATGGATGAAACCATTTAAAAATGTCTAACATGAAAGACAAACAAAAGCTAAGAACTATCTCTGATTAACAGACTAAAGAGACATGTCAACTACAGATGTCATCCTGAAACAGATCCTTTAAAGAAAATTATGTTTTTATTTAAAAGGCAGAGAAACATAGAAAGTAAAACAGAGAAAGCTTTCAGGGTTGCTTCACTCCCTAAATGTCTACAACACCCAGACTGGGTGAGGCTAGAGCCAGGAGCCAGAAGTGGGGGCTTCCACCTGGGCTGCAAGAATCTAACTACTTAACCTGTTCCCTGCTAAGGAGCAGTGAAGGGGAAAACTGGATTGGACAGCAGAGTTGGGATGCAGACACCTCAAATGGCAGCCTGACCCTCTGAATCAAAAATCTAACCCAAAGCTTCAAATAAAGAGTTAGGATAATATAAAAAGAATTATTGCTAGTTGACTTTTACTAAAAAAAAAAAAAAAAAAAAAAAAAAAAAAAACCAAAAACACAACAAAACATGCTTACTGTACAACAAGCTGCTGGCACACAGTTCCATTTTCTGTAATCAGTTCATTCAGTTTTAATTCGAGGTGAACTTTACCCTATAATGACAAAAAAAAAAAAAGATTACAAACTGAGTTTTCCTATATTTTACTGATTAAAGTGTGTAATTTTTCAAATGGTAACGTAATACTTAATTTTCACTGAGCATTAGCTCATGGCTTTCCCCCTATAGGCCTGTTAAATGATTACTAAGCAACTACATAGACCAAATTTCTGAGTGATAAGAAAATAAATATTCATAGCAAACATGGTATTCAAATTTAAGAATTTTATGCCTAGTTTAATAAACATTTGTATATCTCAAATGTCATAAATCAAAAGGAAGGATAAATTATGTTTTAGGAAAACTTGAAATAAAGTAAAATGTAGGTTATTTTTCTAAAATAAACAAAGCAGAAATAAAAACCCAAGTAGTTTATTAAAAGAGAAATTGTATTAATTCTAAAGCAATAAAAATTAGTATTTGTTGATAGTCTATTTCACCAAACAAAGATTGAAGGACTTATCTAGTACATTTTAAGAGGCACTGCAGGAGTGAGTAGGAACCCACAGGTGTCTCAGCCATTACAAGAAAGTTACATTCTATCTGGGGAAGACAATAAAGAAAAAAACATATGGCTAAAAGCACTGATGGAAAGAAGGGATAAGAAAATAAAGGAGTATTTTCTCAAATAGTCATCAATAGATGGGTTTTTTTAAAAAGTACAGTACTATAAGTGCAAAGGAATTTAAACTACCAACATTTCAAAACAAACGCTTAGAAGCAATATAATCTAGAGAGTGTCATTTCTATTCTACCATAAAGAGCAATTCTAAACCAGTTAAGAATCATGCTGGATTCCTTCCACCCAAATGACAAGACCAACAATGCCCAATGGAGATTAAAGGGGTGGGTGTAAGGTCCAGAGGCTAGGAAGTGATTTCATCAGAGGCAGTGAGGTTCCATTATCTAGTCACTGTTGCTCTCTGTGGCACAAGCCTTTTCAGACATTCTTTCAGAGAAACCTAACCTGAAAAACTTTCACTACTGAAGTAGAACTGTTACACAAAAACAAATCTGAGGTCTACTAGTTACAAAGTTCAAGATTAGATGGATAAGTAATGAGTGAGCAGTAAAAACAAACGGATATTAAAACAAAAGTCTGGCTCTTTCCGGCCTTCCCGCTTCCTCAACCTTCCTCTTTTCCGCGTTGATCTCCCACCACTTCTATCCCGTTCCTGCGCTGCTGGAATAAACCTCCAAAGATACTTTAGCATCTGGTGTTTTCAGCTCACGAAACCTGCCTAACTGAGCAGCTTCCAAGGCTGACCATATCTACATCCTTATGATCCTGTAACTTTGAATACATTCACTGATAGACACAGGAAAGCAGCAGACACAACCGTGTGGTGTTGCAGTGACTGATACCCCAGTGGCATTCAGCGAGTCACGATCTAAACTCCACTGGCAGCCGGAACTCCACCAGCACCAAGGTGGGAAGGGACGTTTACCGGGAGCTCAGGAGCTCAACTCAAAGAACTGTCCAATCCTGCTGGTCTGTTTGATTTGACCAAGAGCAGAGACAGAGCAGCAGGTGCCAGACAGGCAGTGCAGGGAACAGGATCAATTTAACAGCCCAGTCCATCCCCTACAGCCAAATTGGGTGTCATTTTGTACGTGTGGGGAAAACAGTGAGCTACACATGTGCTGAGCTGGGAACAGACTCGCTGAGCTCAGTGCATTTCAGTGTCCCACAGGGAAACAATACTGACTTTGGCATTGTACAGATCAAAATAGATCTGTGTGGCCCTCAGACCTAACAGCCAACAGGTTCTGACAAGATCAGTATCAAGGGAGTGGTACAAGTGACTGCAAAGAAAGTACCAGGTACCAACTGCAATAAGTAAAATTGAACTGTAGATCTGTGGGTAACACAGCTTAGAAACCTATCCCAAAAAGAATCTGATAACCAGAAGCACAATGACCAAGGGCAAAAGAAACAGTGCCACAATGAATGTTACTGAAGACTCCCCTGCAAAGCAGCAAAACCCTTTGTCAACCTCAAAGTTTACTGAGGAAGACATCGAGAAAATGGGAGATAAAGAATTGAAAGTGCTTCTTATAAAGCTACTTATCAATTATGAGAAGTACATGAATCAGGTACTCAAGGAATTCAGGGAATGTATTACACAGCAAGTAACGGCAGTGAAGCAAATAAAGGTTGATGATACATCAGAAATGAAGAATAGAGTGGAGCAAATTAAAAGTACAGTGGGGAGTCTCCAAAATAGAATGAAGGAGGCAGAAGAAAGAATCTCAACATTAGAAGACAATTCCTGTCACCAGAGGGAAAAAAGAAAAAAGCTGGAAGCAGAGCTGGATCAGACCCAAAAAAGGATTCAAGAATTGAAAGACACTATTAAGAGGCCAAATATAAGAATTATGGGAATCCCAGAAGGTGCAGAAAGAGAAGCTGGGGTTAAGGGTGTGTTCAATGAAATACTAAGGAAAAATTTCCCTAATCTAGAGATAGAATTGGGAAACAAGATCCAGGAGGGATACAGAACTCCCCACAGGCTTGACCCAAAGCGATCTTCACCAAGACACATGATTATCAAGCTCTCTTCAACTGAACATAAGGAAAAGATCCTTAGATGTGCACGTGAAAAAAATCAACTGACATATAAAGGATTGCCAATTAAGCTCACAGGAGACTTCTCACAGGAAACTCTACAAGCAAGAAGAGAATGGAGTGACATATTTCAGATTCTAAAAGCAAAAAATTGTCGGCCCAGGATAACATATCCAGCAAAGCTTTCTTTTGTCTTTGAAAATGAAATAAAATTCTTCCACAGTAAAGAAAAGTTAAAAGAATTTGCCTCTTCCAAACCTGCCCTACAAATGATACTTCAAGATGTTCTCTTGACAGAGAAGAGGAACAGCACCTACCAAAACCAAAGGCAAATGGGAAGAACATCCCAGTAAAATGACAACAGAAGACTAAACCAATGAACAACCCATTGCTAAAATGACAGGACCAAATTACTACCCATTCATATTAACCTTGAATGTAAATGGGTTAAACTCATCAATGAAATGTTATAGATTAGCGAATTGGATTTTTTCCCGTTTTAAAAATTTTATTTTTGACAATCTTTACACAGTTAATTAGGGCACAAGGGTTTAAGGGCTATAGGAAAGTGGGAAAGACAATCATTTCCACATTTTTTCCCCAATATCTGGGGTGAAAAGGGAGGTAAAGGGAGAAGCCCCACCCAGTTTCCCTTCCATCTTAGGGCCCCAATGTTGGGCATGTCCAAGGGTCTTGCTCAAGTGGTTTTGAATTGCTGTCAATTTCGCCATTCCAAGCACAAAGAAATTGCTGCAGAATCCACTGGTTGACATATCTTGTCTATCTTGGAGTCTCCATTTATCCTGTTTTTCACTGCCAACATATGGCTGGAGTGGTTTATTGATTTGTCCTCTTGTCTTTTCATGGTTGGGGATCTGAGTCTGGCAGTTCAATTGAGGTGAACCCAGACCAGGTTCTTGTGTGCTTGCAAGTACGGGGCCTGGTACAGTCCATCCCCCAATTAGCTGGTGGTTGCGATTGCTGAGTCAGTTCTGTTTGCAGCCCCATCTTCTACTCAATGGGTGTTGCAGTCCAGCTTGATTCTGCCCAGCACACACTTGGCCCTCACATAAACCAGTGGGAGCTGCAACCTAGTTGGAGCGACCCATAATGTGAACTGGATTTTTTTTAAAAAAACAAAACCCATCTATTGCCTACAGGAGACATCTCACCAACAAAGATTAGTGGGAACTGTATCATGGATTTTGATTTTTTTTTTTAAGTTTAATGTCTTCAAGTAGATAATACAGTAGCATCATTTTCTTCAAGAAGGTTCTTGATTTTCCTCAGTGACACATTATTTAGCATGTTATTTAACTTCATGGCATTGTTAATTTTTTCCTGTTTTTGTGGCTTTTAAGGGGATATATAGTAATAAAGACTCTTATATCTAGTAGCATGTTATTTAACTTCATGGCATTGTATATTTCTCTTTTTCTTCCTGTTGCTGATTTTGTATTGTAATTTTTCATTTAAGGGAATGTGAGAATACAATGCGTTATGCATTTCTACTTCCAGACCAGAAATGGACTCTAGGTGAAACTTGATAATAGGAAGCTGGACTCTGTCATTGTCCATGCCCTTAATGATGGACATAGACTGTTTATAAAGAACTGGAGTATAGTAACAATGTAGGGGTACTTTGGAGGGGCTGTGGGGAATCCCAGAGCCTGTGGAACTGTATCATAAAATGATAATAAAGAAAGCTATGAAAAAAAAAAAAAGTCTGCAGGAAAAATCTAAGCACTAAAGCAATGAAAATATCAACAATAGTAAAATTAGCAGGTAAGAAAAGCTGAACCTAAATTAAGCAAATCTGCTAAAAATCAAGGTACTAAATATGTATAAAACTACCTATAACTTATAGATTACAGTTTATCTAGAATTTAATAAAAGGCTAAGTCTTTTCTTATTCCTACAATATTTATAAGTTCTTATATTCAAGAGTGACCTTGAAGGGACCACAGTATATAATAATTTCTAATATTACTCAACTAGAATGTTGTGGGGTTTTTTGCTGTTCATTTTACATTTTATTTTGAAAGGAAGAGAAGGGTGGAAAGAAATCTTCCATCTGATAGGTTATTCCCCAAATGTCCACAATAGTCAGGATTCTGTCAGGCTCAAATAGGAGCTTGTGATTTAAGCTAGGTCTCATATTTGTGTGGAAGAGACCCAAGAACTTGAACCATCATTCACTATGTCCTCAGGTACATCTAGTAGGAAACTTGATCAGAAGCAGAATAGCTAGGTCTCAAGCCAGGTACTCTGACAATAGCATGTGGACATTCCAAGCAGGGACTGAACCACTGTGCCAAACACCCATCCTCAACTAGAATTTTTAAATCATATTTCACACTAGCATGTTACCTGTCACCTGGCTAGCAAAGAAGTCTTGGCAAACATACAAATATCTGCACTTCACA